ACACACACACACACACACACAAACACATACACATACACATACACACACAGATACACAATCGCTTTTCCTTTGAGCCTGACGTCTTTAAAAATCAGTCACGGCTGCTCATGCTCTGTTTTCACTGGGTTGATTTGAATGAAAAGGCTATTTCCTTATGCATTACATTTATATATTTTATATATTATTATAGTCAAAATACAAGTGCTGACTATTTTTAATTGCTGATATTGGCTTTTACCTCTCCGATGTTGGTGGTGCTATTCTTCAAAAATGTGGCCGTTTGGTGTCGATAAGTTGTGAAGATTCTTGGGAATAAAATGGTTGCAGTGTGATGATCGATGAAAGGCTGCAGACGACAGGCTCCTAATGTGGTTTGTGAGATTCAGTACACCTCCAGTGTTTCATCAAGGTAAACACCTTTGACCTTCCCATGATGTGCAGTGGAAAAACACTTGAGTCATTACAGTTGCTCGTAGCTCAGCTCAGAGTATCTCCAGCTGTTTAAAAAAAATAGGTTACATGATGCAGAGCACACAAGCTCCCAACAAATACCAGGGATGATACTACTTCAAAGTACTGTCGCATGAATATATGTCTATATAACAAAAGCGTAATGCCCCAAAAATATATGCATGTCAAATTACTGGGGCACCAAAACAGTATGAATCCGTCATTAATGTTATACGTATCACTGCTGCTTTTTCTGCTATAACACAATAGACCACCTTCACAGAAAAGTGCATGTAAATTGAAATGTCCAGTGTCCATCTTCCTCTGCATCGTTTATATGTGAGTGGGGTGTTAAGAGATTTTTACATGATTTATTCTTATTAGTATTTTCAATCATGTGTAATCCCCTCACATGTTCTGGTGTTTTAGTCATAATACTACTAAATGTGAGGGATGGGATTTAAATGTCATTGAAAAGCTGTAAATTAATGTGCATGTGGTCAGCTCAGGTGCCAGCGTGGCCTTTTAAATAGCGATCTGTGTCTAATTGTTTGTCACCCATGTGACATTTGCCAGACTCACAGGTGGGTGGCGTGAGGCAGCTTTAAACAGACAGCTCACCTGTCACCGCTCGGTCTGTCAGCTGCAGGTGTCCACCTCAATATATCCTCAGTGCTCCAGAATAAACAACACTGAATCACTGCCGAGCTCTCGGTTTGCATAGCAACGCATTCATATGGAGGATGACCTGTCGTATCTCCAGTTAGTTTTCAGTGAAGTGTGTATATATATATATATACACACATGTAATAGCCTCTTAAACTTTCTGAAAAAACAATCTTTTGTAAAGACAAGGGTCAACAAAGGCTGTGTTTTCTGCAGAAATAATAATAATAATAATGATAATGATAATTATAAACCTCCTTTAACATCTTTACAAAGTGTTTTACAAGGGAAATAACACCATACAGAAATTAAAATGATTGAACGTGAGTAGAGAAAATAGAGTAGATAAATTCAAATAAATAAGTAAATAGGATTAGTCGGTGTAAATAATAGTCAATATCAATCATTTGTTAAAGCTTTTACAAAAAGACATTTTCAGAAGGGATTTAAAAGACGTTAGAGAAGTAGTCTGTCAAAGTTCGATGCAAAGCAAATTCCATGATGTGAAAGCTCGAACAGCAAAGTAAGTAAACCGCGGTCACAAGCTGTGACTTAGGAGTAACCACCACAGCTTCATCTGCACGTCTCATCGGTCGAGAATGTTGGATGCAGAAATGAGCAATAGAATTTTTGATTCATATTAAAATGTATGACTTGAAATTTAACAGATGCCTCATGGTGTTATTTCCCAGATCCACACATCACAGGAATTTCCCGGTATGGCCATTCAAATTTGCGAAAGAGGAATCAAACTGGGAAACTATGTCAAGACAGTGAATTATTGGTCAGCAGAAAGTCTTCATTCACCTAAATTTGTAGCAGACAAATCCCACATAAATCCAAATTCTTCCTGTCAAATCCAGACCATCTTCTCCTCAAGGAGCATCCTCCCATCTGCTCAGAGATACAGGTTTCAGGAAATCAAATGCAACTGGTTCATGTTTTCATTTATCCGCGCTTGACTCACCTCCATCTTTTCTCCTCTCTGCAGGACAGAGACATGACCCATAGGCAGAGCCCCTGTGGGGACAGCATGGTGGGGGTCGGAGATGGTGGAAAAGAGGTGGAGGGCTGCGTTGATCAGCTCATGGGTTTGGCCGAGTGCGACACGGTCCACAGCAGCTCAGCGTTCGAACAGTGGGACTCTTACTGGGAAGACCTCACCAGGTATGGCAACATTTATTTATCCGCTGTAGCTTATTTTTAAATCCAGTTAAAAATAGATGCAAGTAAATAAAATATCAATGACATCACTTGTGAATGGAATGTGATTTAACTAAAATGCAGCGGTGACGATACAGGGTGTTGAGTTTGAGATAGAAAAGAGTGTCAGCTGAGGGGATAGTCTCTGAAGCCTGAACCTGTGGTGGAATAGTGCTGGCTTTTGTGAGCTTGGGGGAATGTGCTGCTGACAGGGTTGATTGACGTCACATTTCAGAGGAACAGAGGGAAAGCGTTGTATGCTTTGGGTGAGTCATTCTTTTACAACCTCAACTGACCAGACTAGTCCCACGCTGCTGTTTGCTAGCTCTAATGTTTTATGGGAAATGTTTCTGGATTGCAATAAAAGGGAGACAGCTCAGTGTCTGTGTTTCAAAACCTAAACTACCCGAAGTAGAGATAAGGCAAACTCTCCGGTTGACCTTGTGATCTATTTCTGTCTTGTGTTGTGAAGAGAGGTGTGTGCCACTTTTTTACAAAAGCAGAAAACAATAAACTGAACATTAACCAAAAAATATCACAGGAGTAAAAACAAACATGAACATGTGCAAAACATGTGCTTGGGGGGGTGTGAGCTGCGTTTCAGGTGCACCGTTCAGACTCGAAACAACAACTTCAAGTATTCTGTGACCATGAACGTACAAAGATGTGAAGGATCCAGTGAACTTAAATTAACAACTATAAAGTAATGCGATTTACAGTTTATTAGTTTGCTACATTGAGTTAACATGGATAATTAATGACAATGACAACCACAACACGATTAATGATTAATACGAATCAAAATATCTGTCGATCGACTAATCGGTCCGTCATTGAATCTGTTCACATCCATTTTTATGAATTTAAAACATGTAAAAGAAAAAAAAAGGTTTGAAAAACTCACATCTTCACGTCTCCTCCTCATTAAAAAGATAATGTTTACATTTGGACCAAAAAGAAGCAATTACATTTTAAACGCTATGATAACTAGAGAATAGCTGTTCACTGTTGATAGACATGAGTCTCTCTGTGTTTACAGATACACACGGCTGGCCAGCTGTGACATCTGGGGGACGAAAGAGGTGGATTTCCTTGGATTGGATGACTTCTCCAGTCCCTACCAGGATGAGGAAGTGATTAGTCGAACCCCGACACTGGCTCAGCTCAACAGCGAAGATTCACAGCCTGTGTGTGAGGCCCTCTACCCCCCTGCTGACCTGACCCTGCCTTCCCCTCTGCCTCAACCCTCCCAGTTTCCCTGTCACAGTAAGAGACCCCTGGTCCCCGGCCAAGTATCTGGCCCGAGCTCCGGACGGCCCTCCATAAGTTCTTCATCCCGTCCGTCCCGCAGTCTTCTCCCAGACTACCCTGAAAGTTCCCAAAAAGCCACCCGACCTGTCCCCACCAGCACTGAGACTATGGCTAAGACCCAGAACCAGCTCAGTCTCACCCAGAACCTCGGCCATGCTGAAAGCAAGACCCAGGGAAGAGGAACCAAGATGGTAGCCCCAATTTCCCATTGCTTTGACTTTGTGCGGAAGGCTAAAGTCCGTGTTAGCGCGGTGCATAAGGCTCAGCCCAACCTGCCCTCCCAGACTGATTTTGATAGGTCAGATGTGCCTCTACCTCTCTCCCAGCCCCAAGAGGAAAAAGCTTCCACCTCAGCTAGTGCCGCCTCAGTGGGACGTCCTGATTCAACAGTCAGTGCCTCCAGCAGCCTGACAAGCTTTGAGAAGAGGGCAGAGGGGACAGGGAGGAGAGAGATGCCTATAGATTGGTCTTCCACTGTGCCTCAACTCGTGGAGACGAGTCAGGCCCTGGAGGGTGCCCCCTCTGGCCTGGTGAGCAGTGGCGACAGTGTGGCAGGTGCTAGCGGTGGCGTTCTTGTTGTAGAGGGGACAGAGAAGAGCAAGGAGGAGGAACACAACTACTCCCTGTTCCTGACCCGCAGCAGACTGGCCGGCAGAGCCCCCTCCCAGCTGGAGGAGGACGAGGAAGACGAGGATGAGGAAGAAGCGGATGAGGAGGAGGAAGGCGATGGGCTGGAGCTAGATGACGAAGACCATGATGAGGGTTTTGGCAGCGAGCATGAGCTTTCTGAGAATGAAGAGGAGGAGGAGGAGGAGGAAGAGGAGGAGGAGGAGGATGAAGATTATGAAGCAGACAAGGATGATGACATGAGTGACGCCTTCTCCGAGCCAGGTATCCATCATCATAGTACATCTGGTTAACAAATGTCACCAATCGATGTTGTTGTTGTCTTTCCATTTCTCTTATTTTATCCTTGTTCTCCTGTCTCTTTTTCTGCCACTTCTTCCAGGTTGTGACATGGAGCTGATGGATGACATTAAGGGCCTGACAGCAGGAGTCTCCAGGAAGAGAGGCAAGCGCCGCTACTTCTGGGAGTACAGCGAACAGCTCACCCCCTCGAAACAGGAACGCATGCTTAAGCCGTCTGAGTGGGACAGACACACGCTGCCTAGCAACCTGTACCAGAAGAACGGGCCTCTCCATGGTACACATTCTCAGACACACACATGCTCACATCATATATATAATTTATTGGAGAGTGTGATATAACCACTGAGTCTTACATCAAATGAATGAACAATAAGAAAGCCATTTAAAAACTTGCAGTTACTTAGTAGTTAGAATAGAAATCATAATTTCATATACAGAGATGAGAATGAAATCCCCACCATTTTGCTGTGTCACTGCTCTGCATTTATCTGTTGATAATGAGTCATTGTTGAAACAGTTTAAATGTGAAAATGATCTCTGTTATCTCGTCATGAAGGAAAGTACATGCTGAAGAAGTCACGTCGTACGGATGTGGAAGACCTGACGCCCAATCCACGTAAGTTGCTGCAGATCGGCACCGAGCTCCGCAAACTGAACAAGGTGATCAGCGACTTGACGCCTGTGAGCGAACTGCCACCGACTGCACGACCCCGGTCCCGCAAGGAGAAGAACAAGCTGGCATCCAGGTAAAACGTGCAGGCATGTAATGGTAATATGTTATTTTGATCACTTTTGTTAAGGCTAGCTAAAGTCATGATGCTGATTGGAAAGCAGTGTGTCATCTTTCTCTGTGCCAATCATCTGTTGCATTTTGTAGAGCTTGTCGTCTTAAAAAGAAAGCCCAGTATGAAGCAAACAAGGTGAAGCTCTGGGGACTCAGCACAGAATATGGTATGTTACTGCATGTTTCACTTTTTATAGCAAGTACATCGACCTCTACATCCAATTTGCATGGCTTGTTAGTAAATTTCTTATCAAATGTGTCTTATTTCCTCATCATTACATTTCTGTTGTTTTGTATTGTATCTGTTAAAGTTTTCTTACATTAAATAATTACATCCTGATCATTAATAACTATTTTGTGTTTTGAATCAATATTTGCGTTCATGTTTCTGAGTCTGTAATCTGTGCTCTGATGTGCATCTTCCTTTAGATCGGCTGCTCTTCGTGATCAATACCATCAAGGAGGAGATAGTGGTGCGAGTTGAGGACTCTTCTCCTCGTGCAACCAACATGACTGACACCCTGGAGCGGCTCATCCAGGAGACACTTGGTGAGAATTAAATAAGGGGACTAATGAGTCATTTAAATCCAACCAGTTACCATAATGTAATTTGTGAAGGATTAAATATTTACTTGAAATTACATTTAATGAAAACAAATAGTGTCAGTGCCTAATTTGTAGACGACAACTTAGCTAATTGAAATTCAAACACCAGATGCAGCAGTGGGGTCACAGCAGCTGTGACGCCTGTTTGAATGTTTTGAGACATGAGTACTCAGGAGTCATTAGTACATAGTTGTTCTTCAAGTGCACAGGAATGATTGAAACTGTGATACGGTTAAAAGAACATGGGCCATGGTTGTAAGTGGGGAGCCAATGCTCTTGCTTGGAACACGCCCATGCTGAAATATAGATTAAAGTAGAGACAACTAAAATAGTTTAACTTTTATGAAAGAAACTGGCAAGTTATTATCTCAGAGATAAAAAGCAGATGAAATAGTGACAAGCTCAGTCTGAGCAGGCGGGTTAATAACAATAATAAAGAATGTGTTCTGTCTTTTTTAATATATTTCACTTCAAATTTATTTGAAAAAACCTCTCTAGATATATATATAACATATATCGTAATCACTATATAACAGAAAAAATTACATTTTACCAAACAGCACCGTCTAGACAGGCAACAAAAAAAGACTTGAAAAAATATTAATAATTGTCCACATACATGAATAAATCCTTACTGCCTGTCTCTGTGTGCAGTGGCATCACCTGTTGCTGGGCAGACGTCAGACTTTGTCAACAAAATCTTGGAGAACACAGGACACGGCGATCCCACGGGCGGACTGGTCGGCCTGCGAGTTCCCACCTCCAAAATCTAGACAAACCACCGTCCACTGAGAGGAGTGGACTAAATATTACCACCGTGTTGTCCCATTGTAACTATGCTCCCCTCTGCATGCCCCTCCAACCCTGCGCACATACACATTGTTAGTCACACAAACACACATACTACTCCCTGTGTGTGTATGTATGTGTGCTTGTTTAAAGCCATGCACCTGTGTGGCGTACACCGTAGCTTTCTGTCTCTGCATACTGCATGCAGAGTCACTCAACGTCTCCCAACCCACTATGAGCGTCTGTTGGGAAACGCACCTCTAAAAGCAAATGATGGTTTGGTGTATAGCTAACAGCACGTCCTAAATCCAGTGGTGATTATTAGATGTGTTTTACATAGCATTGTGTTGGGGTGGTTCTGTTGGAGGTCTGCTTCCAAGGCTGAGACAGACAGTCACACGAGTGAAACTACTGGAATACTTTCCCACAGTCTGTTTGAGATTGTTATGATGGAGGAAGAACTGTTGAGCGTTAGACACCATCAAAGATCGAAAAGATTCCAGGTATCTTTTCCGAGAAGAGCTTTGCTTCACATGGCAACAAAAATTAACTGTGTGATGCGAACTCGACCCACTGAGTTAAAGCACTTTGAAGAAAATGGCTTTGGTTGCCAAGACAGCTGCAGAGAAAGAAAAGCAGCATGCTTGTTACAGGGTGGCAAGACATATTTTGTATTGAAGGCCTCAATATGTTCATGCCGTCCCCTGTTTGCCAATCAGCTCATTGAAATTGATGCTCCAAACAAAAGTTGAAACTTACGAATTTAGTGACATCCTGCCGAGGTGGAGTTTTTTGGAGGCAGGAGGAAGCTTAACAGCTCTTTATCTGAAAAGGAGGTGGTTGACCACGTGGAGAGGAAGCGCATGTAGTTTGGTGCTTTTTGGCCTTGTGCTAGTTATAACTGGACTTGGTGAAACAGAAGTGTTTTGCCAGTATGGGAGTTGACTGCGAGGAAGATCATGGTGGTGATGAAGAAGACATGAACAGTGATCCATCTCCTCTAAGAGTCATACACACGTGTACATAGAAGTGTCTCCCAGTGAAAAATGGCACCGGCTCCACTTTTTGTACAGTAGAGATGACCAGGCTAACAGTTTGGTGTGTTCATACTAGTGTTTGATCAAAGTTCTATTCATTGTGCCTTGTTTATGTATGTGTGTGTGTTTCTGTAAGTCTGAGTGCGTATATGAATGGGACTGAACGAGAAGAGGCGATAGCTCAGAACTCCCAGAGGTCCAGTTAAGGAGAGGACTACTTTACACTGAGGGAGGATGTCAGTGAATGTGACGAGGGGGACACCTGTGGGGTTTTTGGTGTATTTCAGTTGTTTAAAGATATTCTGAATGTACATAAAACAAATGGAAGCTCTCGTTGCGTGATGCCACAGAGTCTGTGTATATAAGGAGGGCTCTGCAATAGATTACTTATGGTTTTTGGTACTTAATCTTTTTTTGGGGGGAGGGTCAGGGGGAGGGTTACCTGATATTATTCATTTAGAGTTACAAAAGATATTTGCACACTATATTTTGATTGTTTTTTGTACCAAAGACACATGCAACGAAACGGCGACCAGCCTGTTAAAGTAAGGTTTTGCACAGCTTACCTGACGCCGTATTGAATGTAAGAAATGTTGGAGGGTCAGGGAACTTCATAGAACTGTGAAATTAGCTTGGGTCCAATTCTGTACAGAAAAGGAACATTCATTTTTTTTTTCCTAACATTTTACCCCATCTGTGGGCTTCTCCAGAAAAATTTGTTGCCTAAGCACTTCATTCCTGAACGGATTCCTCTCTCCACGTGCTAATTGTGTTAATGGCTCTACCTATGACAAGAACCAAGAGCACTAGTAGATAAGCTATGTTACATTTTATGCTTGTTTGTCAAAATGTCACCAACAATAACCAAAATGTTATGTTTCTTTGTTACTTGTTCAAAAATCTGTATGTAGACAAGGTCTAGTTCATATACAAAATAATAACTGAATTGTGTTTTGAAGTACTGTAAAACATCAATGATATATCTATCAAAGGTGAGATGCCACTTTTCATGACAAAAGATTTAATTTCTAAGCATGAAACATTTCTATAGCCCATCCTTGCATTAGAAACTTAGACAAAAAACTGAAAAAAAAAAAAAAAAGGTTCTTGTTAAATTTTTGTATTTTTAGCTGCCTGCTAGCTTTCCTGACAGTGGGGAACTTGTTGTTTTGTCAGATTCTCCAAGTGGAGAGAGGGAGATGTGGAATACAGACAATTAGGATTGGATTAATTTAAAACACAACGCGGAAAGCAATGGTCTAGTTTAAAGTCTGGTCTATTAAGAGAATGAGGACAGGCTGTCTTTAGCATGGACAGGGACACGTCCAGGAAACTCAGTGGACAGCAGTGTGGAGACGGGAGAGCAGTGTTGTCATAGATGCTATAACGTAGACTGTATATATAGATGGACAACATCTATACTCCCTCCTTCTGTACAAAAATGAAGCCGAAATACCCCGGATATGGTTGCTGCCATCTTTTGACATCCTGTATCAAGGTTCCATTGATACATACTCTCAACCAATCAACCAGTCAGTCTCAGCTGTCAACCAATGATATTTCACAGCTTGTTGTGACCATATATGTGATCATATAACTAATCAAAACCAAACTTACTCGAAAACTACCTAAAATGATCGAAATTTATTTAACATGTCCATTTTAGTAAGGTCCATTTCCCATCCACTAACATGGTGGAGGCAGGGTTAATGACCTGTACTGCAGCCAGCCACCAAGGGGCGATCAAGATGATTTGGCTTCACTTTTGGGGAGCCGTCATGAGGTCCATCATTATGTACATTCTCCCTGTTGTAAGAACAACAAAGCCATTTCTGTCCCAGATTCATCTGGATTCAACACTGAGCGTTGTTTTTTAGATTTTCACACGTATTCCCTCTTTAACCGTGAAGCTGGTTGAATTTAGCATCTTCCTGGTTGTGACATTTCTTCCTCTGAGGTTGAACTGCTCAGTTTTTATATCTGCCTGGCCCCGCCTTCAGTTCCTAGCATATATTTGCTCATCAAAAGTTTCAGGCCAAAAATAGGCAGCCTGTCCCAACCTTTAACAATGCATGATGCCTGTGTAATGCTTCCCTCCCCACTGCCTGCTCCGAGGAAACTCCTGCCATTTCCAGAAAGTTCAATATTCAACCAGAGTTCAGTAGGTTTGTGGGCAAATGTCACAAAAAATAAGTGCTTGATAAATTCAGGTTAGTGTGAAGAGAATTCTCCTTCACATATTGATGATGGCGATGCAGAGCTGTGGTCTTTCTGTACCATGTGAGTGATTAACAGGTAGTGCTACACACACATATCTCTCTCTCTCTCTCTCTATATATATATATATCTATATATATTTTTACTGTTTTCCATTTTGTCTAAAAAGGGAGAAATGGTGCTTTTTCTGAAACTTGAGAGACGAGTATCCATGATTCTTATTTGACTTCTTAGTCTAGTTGTAGCCTAATGACTTGCTCTCCCCTGCCGTCCATAGCTATTTTCTTAGTAGTGATTCATTTTTGTAAATAGACTATAAGTTAATATGTATCTTATAAATGTTAGATATATGTATAGAATACTATATCTTATATGTTTGAAAACAAAAGCACTTTGTCCAAAAAAAAAACAAAAAAAAACAAAAAGAAAAGCATTTTTTTCTTCCATTTGCTGCTAAAAGGCCTGGTGTGAATGCTGCAAGTGTACTTGCTAGGATAGGTCTATCACCTGAATTGGCTAGGTCTATGTACTAGCAAGAGAAAGGTGTGGGGGTGTGGCCTGACGAGGGTTAGATCCAAATGTTTCTGGAGCCGTGTAATGATATGAGATATCGCGTGAGAGCGTATCATTGCTTGGCTTTGAGAAGCCCAGTGTGTTGATAGGATTGATCTACTTCCTGGTCAGGAGGGACTGTGTGGATTGTGTGTTTGTGGTCTTAAAAAAAAGAGGGTTTTGATTCCAGGGCCCCTACGTTGATCCTGATGCTGACCCCCTTGGCGTCATGATTCATTTGCCTTCAGTAGAGGTTTCCTATGGAAAAACTGATTCTGCTTTGGCTTCCTCTTCAGGGTGATGTACAGTGTAGACACATTTCTCCAGAGAGCTATATTGTTATCATTTGTAAACTGATTTCTACTTGTGACTTAATGAGGAGGGGTTGAGCCTGGGGCGGCCAGGAAGACCTCGTTTGAAAGTCGTTGTTCCTGGCTGCCTCTGGGGAAGTTACTATATCACTGTACTGTATGGCAAGCCAATTACAAATGAAGACTCAATCCGGACACTTATTGCCTTCTTAAATAACTTCAGAGACACACAAATACAAACAATAACACAGCAGACATGTCACTAACGGAGGGATGAGCCTGACGTTTATGACATTGTTCTGCTAATATACGGTCAACAACAACAACAACAACAACCATTCAGCCTGATTGGCTCAAAACAACTTTGATTGAAGTAGCAGACATGGTGAAATATACCTGAAAAAACTACTCGTGCTTTGTTGCGTCCTTTTGGGACAATGTTCCGAGGCATTTTCTCAGCCGTAATTTTGCCCGAGTGTGGAAGGGGGTCAACAGTGGTTAAAAGGCCGCTAGTTGACGGCCGGCTGGCCAGAGCGGCGCACGTGTTTTGTTGTCGATTACAAGACTGGTTCAAGCGAGAGTCCTCACAGGTTTTTACATTTAACGTGATGGCGCAAGCTGTGCAACTTTACATTCAAACCAGGAGACTCTGTGGCATTTTAACAGTCAAGGAAAGGAGTGAAAAAAAAATCCACGCCAGTAAAATTATTCCTTCTTCTTTTGATTTCAGTCAAATATTAAGCTAATTGAGTGTGTAACTTTGTGCTACTCTTGTCCAATAAAAGCTAAGTGGATCCATAAAGCTCTTCTTCAGCAAATCAGGGTAATACCGTTCTTCTATCTGACATACTGTAAGTGATGACATATAAAAATTGAAAGAAAATATATTTATATTCCAATTATTGTCGCCATTCTTTACTCTGTACAAAATATTGTAGGTGTGTGTGTGTTATGACTTATCAATGTCAATCAATATGGTGCAATGATCTTGACACAAACTGAAAAAAAGGCCAACAGACTTGTCACAAGAATTCACGTTCTCAAATCAAAACACAACCTGTGACATTTTTCTCTCACAAAGGATCAGACTCTTGATCTCCAGATGTGATCCAGCTGTGGTTTGTCATGTGGTGCTGATTGTTTCTTTTTTGTCAAAGAAATAATCCAAGAACGAAATTGGCATCTGTGTCTGATTCCACTTCACATTGTCCATCTGATTATTGTCCAATAACTGTCATCAGAGCAGATTGATTCTGTCGATTGATGGCGTGATTTCCCTGTTGGACCAATCAGAAGAAGATTCCCTCTGATTCTTGCTCTAAACCACAACAGACTGATGATTTCTGTATTATTGACTTGTGTGATCGTTGTTGTAAAACATACCATTATCTCTTGTAAAAGCCAGACTCCTGGATTTAACATCACTGCACAGAAAGGATGGAGGATTGACCAAGACACAAGATTTTAAAAATAACCACATAAGATAACTATCATTAGTGTCATTTGATTCAACTTTCAAGAATGATCACCATCGGAAATATTTGGTAACACTTAGTTTTACATATATGAGGTAAACTGGAAGTGTGTTAAGTTAAACAGCTTAATAATTAATTAGAAGCTGCTCCAATCAAAATTTCTGTATTAAAAACTGAATACATTTACTAAATGTAATGTGCTTTACAGAGCATTCAAGCTCCTTTGGTTTGATTTTATTGCAGCAACTTCAAGGGCTTCAGGCTCGTGTCTAGTCACTGCCCTAAAAAACATTTCGGAGCACTTAGCTGTATGTTGGACTTGCATTCATCAGGTTGTTAGAAACACAACTCCAAAGGAAAGATAATGTTTGCTGGTGACGTTTACCAGAAAAAACCTGACGACATGATGATATTTACTGGAGCATCTCTTTCTGAATAACTGCTCCCAAACTACATTCAAATTCTGCATCTGTGAAATCAGTTATACAACATATCAACCTCCCGCTGGCTGTGATTTAAGATCCCAGAGTCAGGCTTTGAGGGTTTTTTTTTTTTCTTCCAAGGCATTTCAACTGTGTTGTATCTTGTTCAAACCCTCGTTGCTTGTAAAAACACCTCATCTCCAGAGGCCGCGCCCTGACGAGCCTCTGTGTAGATTCGATGCATACAGAAATGTAAGATGCATTTAGAGTTATGTCGTTAGCATGATGATTACCTGCATAGAACTGAGAGAATCAGGTGACGTCTGGAGTTCTTGCAGATTGAAAAATAACATGGCCAATCGCCAAAAAACATCATATTCATTGTCACGAGGTTGTTGCATGACTTTTTGGGCTCACTGTACTCTCAGTTGAATGATTGATTTCAAACTTGCTGCTATTGAATGAGCACAAAGAGATTTTCTGTTTAGATTGTCCGCGACACAATTACAGTTTGTAACTACCACACACTCACCCCTGTTTTTTTTTCCCCCATTGAGTTTGATGTGACAGTCAACAGACCAACAGCGTCCCTCACCTTGCACTTGGTTTTTACATTAACAAGAGAAAAAAATATTTTGAATATGATGCCTGACGAACCAGGTGCCTTAATCAAATATATGAGAACACAAATCTGCACCTTCTGTCCGTCTGGAGGGGGTTTCCCTGCAGAAACAAAGGGGCTGGGTTTCCCAAAACCGAAACTTGAAGACAAGAATAAAAAAAACGAAAACCTCACTTTATCCCCAAATTTGTATAATACTCAGCCTTTAACTGCAGATGGGAGCTATTGCCTGCATAAAACTAACCCTGCAAACACGTTCCCTTTTTGTAACTGAAGAAGAGCGCAAACGACAACGTGTAAAAGTAAATTTGTGTTGTTTTGGGAAACCTGGTTCTGTTTTTGAACTCTTTCTCTGCCCACTACGCCACGTTCTTGTGTTTTCTGTATTGGCTGCTGCTGCTATCACCGCTGGTGTGTGTCCGTGTAGAGAAGAGCAAACTTCCACTGTGTCTGAGGCAGAGGGAGATTTGGGCCTGATTTTTAACTGGTCAATTACAATGCATTGTTCTTCTTGGGTGTCGAGGCGGAGCACTGTGCTGCTGCCTCTTGAGACCTTATCGAGAGGGGGGGTAAAAAAACAAAACAAACGAACACACATGACAGAACTTTCCGTTTCTTAACTTTGCTATATTGAAGTGCCAGACCCTCCTTGAAGTCAGTGTTGGCACTGAGTCGCAGGATGCGAATAAAGCGACAAACTGAGCATGGAGGTAAACTGTGGTGCTAATCTGTCAGTGGCTGGGTGCTAACATGGCTGGGTTAAAAAGCTGTATTAGCCATATTATTCCTTCTGTTGTTGACTCTGGTGTTTCTGACTGCTGCACTGCTGTACGCTGTCATAGCGAGGTATACTCTGCTGCTGCTTTGCTGTTAATGTAGACTAGTCTTCTTGTTGTCGGGATCCAGAAAGATCATGAATGTTGTATCTTTATATATGGCCGCTGTCCTGCTCGTTTGTTTAAACCTTTTGTTATTGAATAGAGATTTTGGTTTGATATACATGCTCTGAGTCTGTCAAATGTTGCACGTTTGAATTTGTATTCCTAAATTATATTTTATTGCCTTTTCCCCGTGATCCCAGTGTTGATGCCATTTGTTTGATATTTATTTGTTTAGTCCTGTAAATTATAGTGAGGACACCGTTTTGTTTGAACTAACCTTTATAGCTTTTCCATGAGTCACAGACTTTACATGAGACTCTCATATCACAGTCACAGTGAAACATAATATTAAATTCTGACAATAATAACTGCTAAATTATTTTTTAACATTAAAATGTTATCAGATTTACTCACAGGACATCTGTAATATTACCTTTAACCAGTGATTTGAATCACTTAATTTACATTGATTTTAATTTGTAAATTCGTAAGAAAATCAAACAAAAATGAAATTTTTTAATACATTGTTGTGAGTTTTTTTGCATGAGAAGATTGATTTGCTACAGCCAACTGCTAGTTAACATGACTTAACTTAGCTTAACTTGGTTTAACTTAGTTAAAATTAACAAGGGGAATTTGTTAACAGGGTACAAAATAAAAGTCATCACAGGGTTTATGTGCTGGATATATATATATATATATATTGATTTTAAGAATGCTCAAAGACAAAAAACAAAGAAGCAAGTAAAAGCAAATAATTAAAAGTATCAGATAAATGTTTAAATCCAAATATTAAAATATAAAAAACACATCGTAACACCAGATTAGTTCACAAACGAAACTTAATTGTAAGTCAACGCAATAATTTGGAAAAATACCACACACTCTGGCTTCAGTTATTTTTGTCTGTTCTTCCTTCCTGTGCCCTATTATTTAAGTTTCCTCTGCGTTTTGTTCTGACCTGACGCCAGTTAAAGGAAACGATTTCTGCGGATTTACAGTTTCATTGTGACTGTGAGTTACTGACGTCTGTGAAGCTCATGAAGCGTTCTGTCATTTGAGGTTTTGATGAGGTCACAGTATCGAGCCTTGAACCAGGCTCAGCAAACTGAACCTCACCTCGACTCAACTCTTCTGTTGTGACTCTGGACCGAGGTTCGATGCTCTGCAGCCTCTGAGCTCAGGTCAGGGGTCGACTTGCCTGCTCTCTATAACTTCGCAGGGGAAATTTGAGAAAATAATCGATAGTGACCATTGGATCACGTTTTCTGGGAAACTTCACAGCTGCGCCAGAGATGTTTCCGCCCTTTCTGGGTTGTTTTATTGTTTTGTTGGTTTCTTCATTAGGGCTTTGGTCAGCAGTCGTCCCGTCAGGGAGCCCCTGAGATTAAAGACAGGGGTCACTGTGGGTTGGTGGGCAGAGACCCCTCACCCTCCTCTGCGATGCATGAGGAGAGGTTTGATTTCCTCTTCTGCAGACTAATCTTATTAAAGCAAAACGACAACAACCCACCCTCGGTAATAAAAGAAAAACCCCTCTTTCTATATTTACACACTCATCATCCAACACTGCAATGATTTATTTCTCCTTCCAGACTTTGCCAAACTGCATGGAGCGAGAGACATTTATCAAAGAACATATTTGTCCTAAAACATTTGTTTCTGTTTCTTTTTTTTGTTGTTAATTTCCCTTTTGATAATAATGACAGACAGGAAGACGTTTTTATAGGAAATCCTTACCAGTCGAACATGTAGAGGATGTGGGAGGTATCTGTCACTCTGAGCTCCACAGCTATATGCCATGGTTATGATGCTTCTGGTCTTGTATGGTCACTTATTTGACTCGATCAACAGCATGGGATCTTTCTGTAATTAGTCCTGTGTGTGTTCCTCTCACCAGTCTCAGTAGGAAGGCTGTACTTCATTGCTAAGTGCTCTATAATAGATCTCTTGGTGATTATAATTTCATAAATAAGAAAAACCTGCAGAAAGTGTATCCTGCTGAAACTAACTTGATCCTCTCTTTAGCGATGACGTCTATATTTGTAGTTCACATATATGCCTGTTCTATTACAATATCTTGACAGATGTTATATTTATGTTGTGTAATAAATGTTGTGCTGGGTTTATACTTTTGTTCTTACTAACTTTTTTTCCCCTCTGAGGCACAATGGGTGGCTTTATGCACACGCATGAAAATGTAAAAGACATTATTCATCTTTGGTTCATCATGTTCAGGAGGACAATATTAAGATCAGGACAGAGATTATACAAGGCTGGGTTAGG